TGGTGACACACCTGTAGTCGCAGCTACTGGGGAGGCTGAGGCAGGAGGATCACTTGGGAGGGAAAAAACCAAAACATTTGTTTTTCTGCCAGTGAGAGATGGCTTAGCACCACTCTGAGATCCAGATGCGGGCACCTGCTCGGCAGGTTGGGCCATCTGGAAAGATCACCAAGACCCTGAAGGCACTGCCATCCTCTGCTTGGCCCATCCGTCTCCCCAGTGGAGTAGAGTGCAGCTATACAGAGGGCCTTTGTCATAATACACAGCCGAGCTGATTCCCAAGGGCTCCATGGCCAGGAGACCCTGGAAACCCCCAGCAGATCGTGAGCTTTATCCAAGGCTGTTACTTCTCTTGAGTTGTCCTTGGGCATTTCTGCCTTCGCAGGACAGACAGCTGCCATCTGTTGCCTAGCACAAGATCTCACTCTCATGGCACCGGGGTGCAGCTCTTGGCTTAGACTCCATTGAGGCCTGTGACCCCTGATATCGGGGTCACATTGAGCTTCACCCCGAGTTGCCATCTCCAGTGTTTTGGACTGTTCTGTGACAGCTGCTAGCCCTTAGTGACAGTGCTCGTGGTCATTCCTAGGGTGCCCGTGGGGCCCTGCACGGGATGCTGAGAGGAAACGCTGCTAAAGCTCTGACACTGCATGTGAAGGTCTCGGGACCTGGCACTGGGAGGTGACAGCCAGGCTCAGACACACCTAGGGAAGCACACCCTCCCCCGCCTTCAGCTGAGTGTCACAGCCACTGTGTCCTGCCCACACGGTGTCTGCCAGGGGCTTCAGTGCACAGCCTCTCGCCACTCAGGCAGTGAGGGGTGAGTGGTGTTGTAACTGCTGCCAGAGGCCTGTTGGCCTTTCCAGCCACCCACTCAGAGCCACGTGGGCCGAGAAGGGAGCCCAGAGGACAAAGCCACAGATAGATAGTGGCTGTCAGTCAGAGTGACTTTGGCCCTTGGGGGATATTTGGTTGTCACAGTTGGGGGTATGGCACTACTGGTAGGAGGTAGAGGCAGGGACGGTGCCCACAGCCCCGATGCACAGGCCTCCAGCGTCAGTCCTGCAGCCACAGCTAAAGCCTCTGGGGAGGGGTGGCCAGGTCACAGCATGCCCAGTCAGGCAGTGACAGGAAGAAGTATTTCCAAATGACAGAAATAGAGCTTAGATAAAAGCACGGTGGACAGTGGCAGCGGCGAGGTTTGGGGTATGCACTGTGCATGGGAAGCTCCGGGTGCTGAGGAACATGGGACGGGCAGGATGGGAGGCAGCTGCTTTGGGGTTGAGTATGGACCGACGTGGGAGGAGCCCAGGACCTTCCAAGGCCAGGGGTGGAGAACGGGCTGCAGAAGGTAAGGTTCATGTGGGAGGGACCAGCGCAGGACCTCAGGCTCTGGTAGGGGTCCAGGAGGAGGGAGGTGGACACAGGGACGAGGACAAAGAACTGCCTGAGAGTGGCACGGGCTAGGGTGGTGATGAGAAGGGAGGGTGAGGGAGCAGCTCAGACTTGAGTGGGCTCCCAGCTGTGGGAGCAGGTGCAGCTGGGACCTGGGAGTCCTCTAGGAAGCCACTAGTGCACAGCTGAACTTGTGGTCTGGAGCACAAGGCTTCTGGAAACATCCACTCTCTGGTGATAGTGGTTGAGGAGGTGCCCACGTTCAGGTGCAGGCTGCAGACAAACCAGGGAGACGGGGCAGGACTGAGCGAGCCGAGCAGCGGGCAGCCAGGGGCTCTTTCCTGAGGGGAAGCTCCAGAGGGGGCTGCGTGGGGCTGGCTCACAGCAGCTGGGTCCACGTGGAAGTGGAGACTGAGCATCCTCAGGAGTCTCCAGAGCAGAAGTCAGAGGCGACAGTGGGCACGTGGAGCAGGACCACCACGGTTGTCCCCGGAGAGTGCAGCGACTGTGAGCACTGATTTCTGCGTCTCAGGCTCCCGGTCTCCGAAAGGGGTGACGGGAGCCCCTGCTGGAGTCAGGCGACCAGCTCCACCAGCATGTGGCTGGAGAATAGAGAACCGCTATAGAGGGCACTGGTTTCCTAATGACTAAGGATGTAGCATCATTTTGTAAACAGTGTTTTAGATAAACAAATTTGCAAGGATGAAAATGGCAGGAGGTTTTGAGGGACCTGAAGGAAAAGCAAGTTGCTGTTTCCCAAGTACTAGCCATGCCCCGCGCTGGCCCCAGACTGCCGCACACTCCCTCTGCCCATGGTCACTGGCCCTGAGGCCAGAGCCCCTGTCTCCCAGGGCACTTGCACCCATGTGGGCCACCTCTGAGCAGCCAGGTGCAGGGACCAGCTCGGCCACATGTCCAGACTGGCTCCGGAATGCAGGGAGGGCCTTCGTAGAGCCTGGCACTGCTCCCTGCCCTGCCAGCCCAGTCACCTGTGGGCTTGAGGCCTCTGCCTGCAGGACAGCTGAGCCGTGTGTCTTCCTTGGCTGCAGGATGCCATGCAGCACGCCGCAGAGTCGCGGGATGCCGAGCTGGCCGAGCAGCTGCTGCAGTGGTTCCTGGAGGAAGGCAGGTGGGAGTGCTTTGCAGCCTCGCTCTTCACCTGCTACGACCTGCTCCACCCGGACGTGGTGCTCGAACTGGCCTGGAGACACAACCTCATGGACTTCGCCATGCCGTACTTCATCCAGGTGATGAGGGAGTACCTGAGCAAGGTGAGCATGTGGGCCCAACCAGCCATCAGGAATGGCCTCTTCCCTTCACACTCAAGTGGTTTTCTGCCCAATATTAACCCCTCCAGAAAGTCACCATGGTGGGTGTCGAGCAGAACTGAGCACTTCCCCCTCTCAGCAGCTCTCCTGCAGATCCCGCCCAGGGAGCTAGTGGCATCCGCACGGCCAGGGAGCGTGACAGGTGCTCACCAGTGGCCCTGGGTTTTATCAGGGTGACAGTGAGGCACCAGCTGGTGACAGCCTGTGGGGCTCAGACAGCCTCCAGTGGAGTCTGGGGTATAGCTGTGGGGTTACCTGTTGTTGGTAACCCCTTGGCTGAACACGTAGTAGGAATATTAATGCAAGCATTGAATCCTTCTAACAGCTGTGGCTTTATCTGCCTCATCAAGGTAACAGTGTCTGATTTTAAAACTCTCCCTGGTTGTCAAAGCCCTAGGAGTCCATGTCTGGGACCTAGCCACTGTCCAGAGACCTGTGTCACCTGGTCCAGTTTGTGGTTTCTAACACTGTGGAAAACCCGCCTCTCAGCAGCACCTACTTGCCCATCCAACCGTACACTTGCTCTCCTTCAAGCCAAATGGAGACCCCAAAGCCACTTGTGCTGAAGCTTCTTTCTGTGGTGCAAGGGCAGGGAGGGGCCTCCCAGGTTAGCGAGGGCAGGAAGAAACAAGAAGGGGGTTAGTGCTGCCAGCTCTGGCCGGGAAGGGCTTGCAAGGCTGCCTGCACCTGTAGAGCCTCTGGGAAACTACCCAGCCCCCAGCAAGGGCCACCCCGAGGCCATGCAAAACCATCGCCTGCTGCAGGAGAGTGAGGCATTCCCACCCACACAGACACCTGAGTGTGAGGCTCCCTGGTGACTCTCCAGGGGTAGAGCAAAGGGTACCCTGAACACGTGGTCTGAATTGCACTGTCTGCCAGGGGACACACCTGGGTTAGATTTACAGGGGTCCCTGGTTCCTCAACTGCAGTGGACGGCAGCTCCCTACAGGAGATGTCTGTGTTGCGTGGAGTTTGCCTTCGGAAACTGCTCTCACCCACCATGAGCTGCTTGTCCCATCCCTAAAGTGTCTTCAGCTGAAAGCAGTCTTTTTTGAGAGCCTGCATAAAGAAAGATGAATGTGGCTTGAATCTCTTCCTGACAGTAGAGGCCCAGCGACTAACATAAGAGGAACTCGGGCCCACCCAGACCTCAGAGGTATCACTGCTGCAGGGGTTGGACTGCTGGAGACCCCCAAGGACTTGGGGGAGCACATTCCCTTTCTGTGGTGGATGACGAGTTCATCCTGGCAACCATTGTCACCGTGGCAGCACTGTGGCTACACAGCCAACTCAGGGTTGTCATCAGAGGACACTGCTCCTTGGCCTGGGGTTCCCAGACCCCTCCACTATCCCTGGGAGGTGGTGACTGCCACGGCACCTGCTCCTGCTGCGCCTGCCAGAGCCAGACAAGGTGCCTGTCATGGGGAGAGGGTCAGGGAGAGCAGGGGGTCATCCCTCTGCGATGCCCCCGTGACACTCTGCTAGTGGAGGGTGTAGGCCCCGCTCAGAACTCAGCCCTGGGCGTCAGCAAGCTGGAGGCAGAAAGGACAGACTGCGGGGCCAGCATACTGGTCGGCCTCCTTTCCCTTTCAGCCCTGGACTGGGGCAGCTGGGAGCTGGCAGGGGGCCTTGCCCGACTGCCCCAGAGCCAAGCTCACAGCGGGCACGTTCTTTCTTCTTACTCAGCGCTTGTTTGAGGGGATCCTAGAAGCACAGTTGCTGCTGCCCCCACCAACAGTGTTGCGCCTCTGCCAGCCCCCAGCACCACTTCACTCTCTCCTGCCCAGCCTGTGAGCTCGGCACAGAGGCATCTCTGAGCTGGGGCGGTGGCTGGTCAAGCCTCAGGGAAGAGTAAGGAGGCAGCTAGTCCTCAAATGCTTCTCAGGAGAGTGTCCTAGGTGCCAGGTGACCTGTCTCCTGAGGACTACATGATCTCTCTGCTGGCTAGGAGGGGCGGGCAGCCCAGACTGGCTGTTCGCTGCACATTGCCCTAGCGCTGCAGGTCTGTAAGCAGTGTGTCCCTGTGTCTGGAGGAGGACCCTGCCCCCATGAGCCAGGCCACACTCATGGTCTGCAGCCACCGCTCCTGTAGTACACCTGGGGGCCAGATGCCCACGGGAAGCTGCTGGGCTGGAACAGCACCTGGGCTCCACCAGATGCTCCATCTCAGCCCAGCTACAGAGGCCTCATCATGGCCTCCCTGCATTCAAAATGTGCTTGGGGTATGGAGCCAGCCACTGCACGCCTGCCCATGTGCATGTCCTCGGCTCCAACTCTCCTGGGGGGTCCCCGTGTCCTGACCTCTTACTCCATGTTCACCCAGAGGCCTGAACCATGCTGTCAGGTGGGTGCTCACATTCCCTTGCCTCTTTTGCAGGTGGACAAACTGGATGCCTCGGAGAGTCTGCGTAAGCAAGAGGCACATGTGGCAGAGCCCGCCCCTCTCATGTTTGGTAGGTGGCATCTGTTGCGCCCAGTCCCCTGGAGAGGAGAGTGGAGGTGGTTCACACTGCCCTTCTTTAGCTGGGCTTCAGATGGGGATGGGGATGGATGGGTGGGGGCTGGAACCCCAGTGGCTGCCAGATATGGAGACAGTGTGTGTCCTGCAATGTCGGCACGGCCACTGTCCTCCCTGATTTGAGGGCACCTGCATTCTGAAAAGGGTGCCTGCCCAGCTGTGAGCTGCCACTGTGTCCTGCCCTATCTGGCTACCCCAAGTGGCTGCTGGTGGCGTGTGCTGGGAGGGGCTTTGCGCCTGAGAGCCTGCCCTGGACGGCCTGGCTGTCAAGTGGACTGGAGAGGCAACGGGTGCTGGGAAGGCTGCGGGGCTGACACAGGCCTGAGGGTGTGGTATGAGCACGCAGCATGCCAGCTGGTCTCAGTTCCCCGCTGAGTGTGCCCACCCACCATTAATGCCAATCTGGTCTTTCTAGATTGTGATGGGCATGAGTGAGACCCAGCCGACTGAGCTAAGTAAGTGTCCTGTTTTGGGACTAGCTTACCCTCTAGCCTGGCCCCACACCAGCACTGCCCACACTCCTTGCCTCCAGGTGCTTCAGCCTCCTGGTGGTCAGGGCTGGTCCTGCAGACCCTGCTCCTGGGGCCCCTGGCTACTCAGGCAGCCAGGGGAGGACCCGGTGGGCAGCAGGAGCCCTGCTCACTGTGTGTCTCCCTCTGCAGGCCCACAGCTGATGCTGACAGCCGGCCCTGCCCCTGCCGGCTTCCCCTGCGGATACACTGCTGCTCCCACCTTCACCCACACTCCTGTATATGGCTTCAATGTGTAGTGGGCGCTGTCTCTCCATGGAGCCTGTCACTCTTGGGCACAGAGGACCCCAATGGGAGGCAGGGACACCCGGACATTATTTATTTTTGTTGAAGCCCAGTGATGGCAGCCTCTGAGTCATCCTGAAGCCTGGGGAGGCTGGGGTAGACCCCCCACCGCCCAGGGTAGACACTGACTGCCCAAGACTAGCTCGACTCCAGCAGGGAGGTGGACCTCTCTCTGCCTCTCGGCCCTCTGGCTGGAGCCAGGCGTCACCAGGGAGGTTCTTCTCAAGGATTCTCTGTTGCCTGGGGGGAAGGGCACCCTCCCTTCACCCCACGCTGGCTAGAAGTGCTTCCTCCAGGCCACTTCCGAGTCACAACATGAATGCGTCTTGTATGGAGGTGCCAGAGTTCCTAACACGGCTCTGAGCCTCCTGCCGACCATGAATATTAAAGGTTTATCGATCATGAATATTAAAGGTTTATCGAGGCGAAGTTTCTCTGCTTGGTGCTGGTGTGGGTAGGAGGGACAAGGGCCAATTTCATAGCCCTGCAGCCTGCTAAAGATTCCCTGGGACCTCTTTGCAGGTGGGGACCCGTGTCTGCCCAGGGAAGCTGCCTGGGAGAATACTACGGGTTGTATTTGGAGTCTTTTCCCGAGCTCTAAATCCCGGAGAGGGGCAGGGGTGGGACTGCACAGCCCCGCGGAGTGTCCGAACACCAAACCCTGGGACCGAGGGGACAGGGCTGGCCGCACTTGTCTAAAGGCTGATCTGCCCGTCTCGCCTCCGGAGTCTCCAACGTCCTGCCTTTCTCTGCAGACGCGCAGAGTGCGAGGCCCACTCCTCCCCGCGCGGGTGTCCGCCGCAGGCCCGGGCGCGCTATAGTCTCTGCTCCTTGACCCGCAGCTCCCGGCGGGGACGCAGCTCCGCCCCCCGCCCCCGGTTTTCCAGGGACTTCGCCTCGGCCATTGGCTGCGCCCCGGGCCCCGCCCTGGCGCCCGCCTCGGCGCGCCCCGCCCCAGCCTCAGTTTCCCGGCCGACACAGGGCGGGCTGGGGGCGGGGCCCGGCTCGGACCACGCGGGGCGGAGCCCGGGAGCCGAAGCGGCCGTCTCGCCCCCGGGACATAACCGGCCGCCTTGCACGGAGCGCCCCGCGCTGCAGGTTCGGACCCAAGGTTCCCACCGGGCGCGCCGCCTCCCGCCCGCCATGGCCGCGCCACGCGCCCCCCGCGCCCTAGCGGCCGCCGCGCCCGCGTCCGGGAAGGCCAAGCTGACGCACCCGGGGAAGGCGATCCTGGCAGGTGGGCCCTTGCGGGACGCGGACCTCGACCCTGCGGCCTCCGGCGCTTCCGGGTGGGCCCGGGTCGCCAAGGCCCCGCCCCACTTCCGGGTTGGGCTGGGGGCGTGGGACTGAGGGTTGCGGCCCTGTCCCCCGTCTGGCGGGCAGGGGTCGCCCAGCTTTTTGCGCGGGGACAGCGCGGTGGGGGCGTGGGCCCGGCGGGGCCGCCGGGCGAAGTCCGGGCGGGGGAGGGGCGGGTTGCGCGGCGGGGTCTAAGCGCCGGGTGCGGGTGCCCGCAGGCGGCCTGGCGGGCGGCATCGAGATCTGCATCACTTTCCCCACCGAGTACGTGAAGACGCAGCTGCAGCTGGATGAGCGCTCGCACCCGCCGCGGTACCGGGGCATCGGTGAGCGAGGCGGCCGCGGGGCTGCGGGCCGGGCGCGGGCGGGCGCGCGTGCGGCGGGTCCTGACCGCCCCTCCCCTAGGGGACTGCGTGCGGCAGACGGTCCGCAGCCACGGAGTCCTGGGCCTGTACCGCGGCCTCAGCTCCCTGCTCTACGGTTCCATCCCCAAGGCGGCCGTCAGGTGAGGCCTGCGGGGCGGCCGCGGGGGTCGGAGGGTCCCGGCGGAGGGGCAGCCCTTCTCACCCGCCTCCCGCCCCCAGGTTCGGAATGTTCGAGTTCCTCAGCAACCACATGCGGGACGCGCAGGGACGCCTGGACAGCACGCGCGGGCTGCTGTGTGGCCTGGGGGCCGGCGTGGCCGAAGCAGTGGTGGTCGTGTGCCCCATGGAGACCATCAAGGTGGGGAAGGCCCCTGTGAGGAGACAGGCATGCAGAGGGTGCAGGGGTGGTGGGCGGGGTGGTCCTGCCGCCACGGAGACCGTCAAGGTTGCGAAGGCCCCTTCGAGGAGACAGGCATGCAGAGGGTGCGGGGTGGCGGGCAGGGGTAGTCCTGTGCTGCACTGAGACCGTCAAGGTGGGGAGGGGGTACCGCTGGGGGCCCTGCTGGGGGCCGGGGACCTGACAGGAGGGTCCTCCCATGGAGCCTCACTATTCTGAAGGCAAAGGGACGATAATACTGAAGTCTTTAGAAAATATTATTAACAACAGAAAACATAAAACAACAAGTTTGCTATCAAAACTGTGGAAGATAGCAGCAAACAGAATGGTTAGACACTCCTTACCAGGTGGCAGGTGGACCCTTGTGTTTTGGGGCCCATCTGTGTTGGTGTCCCAGGGCGGCCTTGGGCAACGCTGCTTCCCAGGTGGCCTGGCCTTGTAGGCTCTGGGCCTACTAGCCAGGGGGCCAGGTGCGCCCTGCAGGGGGTGGCTGGGAGCTAGCACCTTTTCTTTTCTCTCTCTCAGGTAAAGTTCATCCACCACCAGACTTCTGCCAACCCCAAGTACAGAGGATTCTTCCATGGGGTTAGGGAGATAGTACGGGAACAAGGTGAGCCATGTGGCCTTTCTCAGGGACAGGGGCCTTGGCCAGGCTGGAGGGGCCAGCACTTCCCCTTCCTGCCTTGGTGCCCTGATCCCCAGCTGGGGCCTGGGCAACATCAGTGTGACCCCATGCTTGCCTGCCCCCACGGCTGAAGGGGATGTACCAGTGCCTCACAGCCACTGTGCTGAAGCAGGGCTCCAACCAGGCCATCCGCTTCTTCGTCATGACCTCCCTGCGCAACTGGTATCGAGGTGCGTCCGCGCCCCAGGGCCCCACCTCCAGACACTCCAGGACGTGGGGGGCCCCTCCTCAGGCCTGGTCCAGGCTCCGCCCCAGCCCTCAACGCCCCGGCCCCCTTTATCCTCCAACACCCTCTGACTGCACCTCCACTCCTATCCAGGGGACAACCCCAACAAGCCCATGAACCCCCTCATCACTGGGGTCTTTGGAGCTATCGCAGGTGCAGCCAGCGTCTTCGGGAACACTCCTCTGGACGTGATCAAGACCCGCATGCAGGTGGGATGGGGCCAGGCATGGGTAGGGGGAGCTTGGGTCACAGCTGACTGCTGAGCTCTGGCCTGCTGGTGTCCTGCAGGGCCTGGAGGCGCATAAATACCGAAACACGTGGGACTGTGGCCTGCAGATCCTGAGGAATGAGGGTCTCAAGGCGTGAGTGGGGGATGGGCAGGGCTATTGTACCCTCCTCGGACCCTCCTTGACCGACCTAGCCTGCCCTAGGCATCCCCTTTAGCCTTCCATTCTCTCCTGTCCTATATCTGGGTCGCCTTTTCCAGGGATCCTGCCCTTACTTGCCTTGCTCACCTCCTGCCCCTCCCCCACCCAGGTTCTACAAGGGCACTGTCCCCCGTCTGGGCCGGGTCTGCCTGGACGTGGCCATCGTGTTCGTCATCTACGACGAGGTGGTGAAGCTGCTCAACAAGGTGTGGAAGACGGACTGAGCCTGTGGGCACACGTGGGGCCTGCCCAGGGCCCGCAGAACAGCCCCACGCCCCGGCTCGTGTGACTCCAGTGCAGTAGTGCCAAAAGGCCCTCCCGTGTCCCTCGAGTCTGCGTGCCCCGTAGTGCCGTGACTCCCCTGTGGTCTGTGTGTGAAACCACCACTGTGTCCACGTGTCTGGCTATGGCTGGGCATCCCTCTGTGAATCTGTGCCCACTTGTCCATGTGCTTCCTTGTGAGCCCTGTGCCTGTGTTTCCTGTTCTGTGTCATGTGACACTGTGCCCCTCGTCCCGGGGTGCCCATGTGGCGTGGATCCGCGGCCCTGTAGCCATGGCCCGGTCCCAGCCCGGTGCCTTCCACCCTGCCCCGGCCTACCACAGCTGCCTCCGGGCCTCGGCCTGGCTTCACCGCATTCCAGGGGCTGCATGCCCCCCGCTTCTTCCGCCATTGGCCTTAAGTGGCCCTCGGGCCCTCCCTCCGCCCGGAACAGGGTGGCACCCGCCACTCTCAGGACCACCCTGCCAAGGCAGAATAAACCGGATCCTGTTGCAGCCTCGTGCCCCTGCATCCGTTCCTGCGTGGGCCCATCTGTGGGTGGGCAGGGGTGGCTGTACCTCTGCAGGCAGCCAGCTCACCCCTCACCTGAGGACACTGCAGCCAGGGGACAAGGAGAGCCCAGTGTCCACCCGGGCCAGGGCAGCTGGGGCCACAGCATTGGATCCCTGAGAGGCCCAGCACCAGGCCAGGAAGGATCTGGGCTATGTCCAGGCCTTGCCTGTGGCTTGAAGGTCCCCACAGGGTTGGTTAAACGGTGTGTTCACGAGGCCTCCAGGCCTCCTGGCAGGCAGCATGAGTGGGCAGAGGGGAGGGTGGGGCCCGGGAGACAGCACTCCCAGGATGCCTGCCTGCCCTTCGTGTCGGGGAAGGCCCCCTTGGCAGTCTGTGAAGTGGGCTGCTTGTGGGAAGGAGGCCCAGGGAAGTATTCCAGGTGGGGGTGCCCAGCTTCTGCCCTGAGGTTCTGGGCAGGGCCCTTCCTCACTCCACCCAGGCTGCTGTTGGCGGGGATGCCTGACCAAGGCCTTGGGGACCTCTGGGCACCTCACCCCACAGCCCTAAACCTCAGAGAGTGTTCCTTTGGCCAGAGGCCACAGAGGTCTGAGCCTGCAGGTCCCCATGGACCCATCCTCCACAGCCCATGAGCCAAGTGGAGGACACCCTTGGACAGGACAGGGTCAACCAGTGCTCCCGGATGTGTCGGGGCAGGAGGTAGCTTCCTGTCCCAGTGCTTTGGTGGGGGAAAAGTCATGCAAGTGTTTGGCTCAGGCTGGGGAAC